TGGTTATAGTAATGCTTTGTGGCATATAAAGTTTGAAGTTATAATAGATTTGATAAGCATAGTTGATTCACTCGTTTAGTGATTGGGTGCCGGTCCCGGCTTGTTCAGAAAATGGGTCGTGACATTATAAGTGATTCCTATCTTCATCACATAGCAATATTTTTTAAGCAAAAGTCACCATGATACAAAACACACGTTCTTCAGATAAATATTGTACTCTTTACGCTGGCAAACAATATTTATCGAAATAAAACACGCTCTAATCCAAAGTGTTGGGCCCGTGCTTTCACGGGCTTATCCCATCTAGTACTGTAAATATACACTCAAAGATTCCATATAAAATTCAGATAAAAATATGTAGTAGAAAGGAGAAGTAGAAATTGCAAAAGAGAATTTCAGACAAAACTTTATTTTTTAAAATTTCCAAGAGTTACTATCTTCCTTCGGGATGGATGGGTGAGGCAGGGAAAAGTTTAACCCGCCTCACTTTCTCTACACAAATTAGCCTTGCCGCTCTTATGTTTTCGTCTTTTGCTTTTTCCCACCTTGCAAGATTCTATTTCAAACCGTGTTATTTTATTAGTTTTGGCTTCTTACTAAGTTTGTGCCACTTCAATCTATAACATACACAAGGATGCTGGTTAATGGTATTTTCTATTTCTATATGACCTTGAAGTTGTAGTTGTATTTTATCATTTACATTTAACATATGGACTTGTCGCTAATCTGAACTAATTTACTAACAAGTTAAGAAGAAACTTGCGGTCGAATAGGGTAATGTTTCAAGTAGTGTTGCTCTGATTTACAGTCTGGCTAAGAGAATATTGCAGCACATACTCTTACTCTAGAGCACAGGTACATTCACACCAAAAACTCTCTTTTAATTGTGTGGTTCAATTAAAATATAAGAGGTTAACGAAAATTAGTCAGGTCATCATACACATGTAATGCAAATTAAATGTCACCAACACCTATAGTAGTATTATTTCACAAAAAACAACACTATTACGAAATTAGAATGTCATAAAGTTTGAGCACATCACAGCTCAGTTGCAGAAAGTCAGTAACCTAAACCGAGGTAAATCCAAAATAAGTACCCCAGTGTTATAAATAGTATTTTATTTACGGTAAATGTCTATATTTTAGAGAGAATTTAGGGATCTTACTTGGTGGCTAAGTCACTCTTTCCCTATAAATAGAGTGGTCTTATTCCGTTGTAAATCATTCCAAATAAATAAGAATTCTCTCTCCCCACTTTTCTTTGCAGTACTATTCTTCTTTTATTATTTCATAACACGTTAGTAGCACGAGACTCTAACCAATTGAGTAGAAGCTTTGAGATTGAGCATAATGATTGTCAATTGTTCCATGAACTTACTTCATGATTAAATTCTGGATTTAAAGTATGTATTTTACCGTATATTTCTCTTTATTCTATAATTTGATTTTAAATACAAGCAAAGAAAATGAATTTTCATTATAACTCTAATGGAATTAGTAAGAAATTATAACCACTCAAAGTGGTAAAATTTCTATGTCTTGCCATGATCAAAGTCATTTATGATCGTGAGCACAAGAAGTGAAAATCTGTCCCACTGAATTTGCTTCATTCTCATTCACTTAAGGAAATGTGATAGCAATATGTGATAAGTCTGAAAAAAGACAAAATTATTACTGGGAAGGTATCAATGGATGTGGACGTGGCAATAGACGAAATTATAATCGTCATCATTGTGATAATGAGAATAATAAGGATTCTCAAAACAATCCTTCACTCTATGAAAGTAATATTTGTCATCGACTTGACATGAGATTTTATAAAGTACATATAGATGATTATAGTCCATTCATGACGTGAATGTGACACCATCTGATTTATGAATACATATTCATTCTTGGAAGAATATGAACGTACTAGTGGTAGTGAATATACCACACTCATCTCTAGAAGGAGATTATTTGAGATGATATAAGAAAATAATATCATTATTATGGTATGAATGATCATTGGTCACGTACCTATTGTACGCCAAAATATTTTGGTAATGTGATTTTAAAGAATAAGATTAATGCAAGAAACATATCTTGCATATAATTTTAACCATAACATAATGGTATAACTTTCTCTTTAAAAGAGATATTCACCATATGCATGTTGATGTATATGTGATAGTACAAAATTAATTGAGAGCTCCGGAAGAGCCAATTATACTATTTTGGAGAAATACAATTGATTACCAATAAGGTATCGTGTTGTAGTAAGTCTCAAAGAAACTTATTCAACTTCCAAAGTAAACGTGAAAGCGGTTGATTATATTGAGACTATAAATAAAGGAAAGATTTAATATCTTCTATTGCTACAACTTGTAGCAGGGTAATATGTATGTAAAAAGTTACCCGCTTTATTCTCGAGTTTGTACTACACAAACAAAAGAATGTCACAATAAAGTAGAAGTTTATTAATATAAAAACCCATATCATTATAAACTTGGAGTTTATTGATAATTGCATACGTCATGGTGTAAATCTGAAGTTTATCAATATTGATAATTTATTCAGTTGGCATAATTAGTTTAGCCATATCAATTTAAGTATGATGTGCAAAAATAATAGAGAATTCACATGGGTAAATATTAAAGAACTACAAAGTTCTTTACGAATTCTCTTATATTGTTTGTTCTCATTAATTAATAGACCAACTAAAATTGGGATTGAATCCCATGAATGCTGGAAATATCAATAGTGAATATGGGTCCATTCACCTACCATGTATACCACATAAGATGCATCTATAAGATGATTACATGTGTGATTAGTATTAACTCGCAACCTGGACGGTGTTTGCGAGGTAACTTGCTCAATAATTTTATTTTGAGCATAATTTCCAGATTTTCTATTCAAAAAACTTATCTTGATAAGTTGGTTTACATCACAGTTGATTTAGCAAAACTTATTTATTGAGTGCCTCCACTTAATAGCTAAACTATTGCTTATGAGAACAAAGTTTATCTACATCAGTTTGATATAGATTATATATGAAAGTATATTACATTCTCCCCTCACAAGTGGTTCAGGTTGAGGAACCAAATAATTATATCTTATTATTATTGATGTGCGGTGTATATTTTTATTAAAACCGTAATGCACAAGGATGGGTTTCCAAAGTTGAGGAAGCAAGTTAGTTTTTCTAACATGAGGGGGAGACATAATAAACAATTGAGAAAAAGTTACGTGGAATGCATTATCATATGTACATCTAGATCTTCGAATAAAATAATATGAACTTGAAGTTCATAAAAGGATAATTCATTTGCAATATATTGCAAAGCATGCCAGACGCATTTGCTGACCCAAAAAAAGTAACTATATTCTCATTGTAAATTCTCCTATTAGAATAAGTCCTAGAAGGAGTCTATGGTACGCTTAAAGCATATAGACAAATCGGTTTCAAATAAACTTCTTGATAAAGAAGATGACCAAATGATCATAGTAAGGAGGAAAGTGATCTAGAAGATCACAAGACATAACACTTCATAAAATCTCAGGAGAGGTTCAGGTACCTGAATATATGAATGAAGAGATCTCTATGTTATGTCTATATGAAAATAAGGAGGTTGGAACCGATATAAAATATTTTTGGCGACATCTATCATAGAGCTAAATATATATGAGGATCTTAAGTCTAGGAAACAATTCAAGTAGAATTGATTCCATATGAAAGACATGTAGTTTTGGACCTGCAGTTCAAGTACTTGAAAGTATAAAGTCAATGATATGTGTAATCAGTTTTCGATATCTTATTTGTCTAGCATGATATGAAAACTGGATATGCATTTAATTAAAGTCTATTATATGACTAATATATCTTAACTTATATGACAATCCTTGAAGGATTTAAATTGCTTAAAGCATATAAATTTCTTGGTCATGAAGTACTACATCCTAAGTACAATTTGTGCACATTTGTATCTTGCTATAATCATAAGCATGATAATGTGATAGTGAGAATTTTCAAGGTGCAACATATTCATTGGAGTTAATATGAGTGATTTATTCACCAAATCTTTATCGACATCAACCTTCAAGAAGTTAGTGTACAAGATTGGGATGCAAAGGCTCAAGGACATGAATTGATGCTCTCATTAAGGGGAGTTAATGCATGTTGCACTCTTTTTTCCTTATAAAGTTTTGTTCCAACGGGTTTTCCTTGCAAGATTTTTAATGAGGCAACCAAAAGATGTATTTCTAAACATGTGTACTCTTTTTCCTTCTCTAGAATTTTTTCCCCACTGGGTTTTATTTTAGTTAAGGTTTTAACGAGGTACATTATTTGTTGAATAGACATTCAAGGGGGAGTGTTATAAATAATATTTTATTTATGGTGCATGTCTATATTTTAGAGAGATTTTAGGGATCTTATTTGGTGGCTAAGTCATTCTTTCCCTATAAATAGAGCGGTCCTATTTCGTTGTAAATCATTCCAAATAAATTAATTAAGAATTCTCTCTCCCTACTTTTCTTTGCAATACTCTTCTTCTTTTATTATTTCATAACACCCAGAAAGTATTAAGTATTATTTTCGGAAATCACATATTATTATTACACAGATAATTAACTACTACCATCAAGGGGTGTGGTTGTGATGTACGCCATCTTTTACCCTTAACTAAAGATTTCAAGTTTGAGCCCTAAGAATAAAGAAATCCCTAATAAGGGGTGTTTCTTCTTTTAATGGATCTTAGGCGATACGAATCTGAATTAGTCGGGTCAGTGATCAGTTCCGAATATCAAATGATTATTAAAAAAAAGATACATAATTAATCTGCTCAAATAGAAAGATACATTGGATGTTAATAGAAGTTGGCATGGCGGTATTGAAAGCATTCTCATTCACGTGTTTGTAGGATCAAGCTATTATTTGAAAATTACACCATACTACTATATTATATACCCGTGCAGGTTCACTCCTAGCTTCATATTTTTCAAACTAGTTTTTTTTAGGCACCACATCCATCTCTCTCGTTCTCACTGAGAAAACAGTTGTTGTCACTGAGCAAAATCGAAGGTTCTCCTCTTCAATTTAAGTGAAATTTCTATTTCAAATGTTTAGATCGATCCTACGTAATTCTCTATTGTTCTTAAGAATTTGAGAAATGACCGGAAAAATCCCTGCCGGAGAAAATTTCAATAAAATGGGGGATTTTTTCTGTGAACACGGTTCGCAGACTCATTCAAATCGCTGAGAATAATATCAATCTGCTTGAAGCCAAACGCAGAGAGATACTAATTGGAAAAATTGCTATAGCTGAACACCATATCATCACTGATCTGGAAATCCTCATCAAAAACGAACAAGTTATAAAGAAAATTGTGGAAGATATTTTGATGAAGCTTATTGGAGATCAGCAACGTCAAGGTATATCTGTCTCGCGTATTTTTTGTTGAGTATATTCGTGTATGTCTAAATACTTCGTTCGACCAGCCTATATTTGATGTGTTAATGATCTTCAGATCTGTTGTTTAACCTTCTTCAAGTTATTACTAGTATATATGTCACTAGAGGCGTCTTCATATTGCGCGGTAACTTAATCTATCATTCAATCTTTGTAGTGTGCTAGTTAATCTGAACGACCTGCTTCACACCTAGTTAGTATATGTTATACATCCCTAAAATCTAATACTATATTTATACACACAATATATTTATACTATATTGATAGAATGATTAGTTTTCTTTATCAATTTCGGATGCAGTAAAGAAGGATGCAGAAACAACGACTGATGAGAAATCTAAGAAAGACTGTTGGGACTGAAGAGTTGAAGGAAGGTAAAGTAGAAGATATGATGCTGATACAAAAGGAGAAACGGAGAGCTCATACTGTTGGTATGGTGGTCCTTTAACAAGTTGTTTGTGATATAAATAAATAGTTGTTGGCAGGATAATGATATGAGTTGAGCTTACACAAAGAAATAAGAATTTATATAGGGGGGACCCAACTTGTTAGGAATGAGGCTTAGTTATTTTTGTAGAGAACATTTGTACTCTTTATTTTTAATTAAATAGAGAGGCATTAGAGCTGACGTTGAGGCTGCTAACGAGTCATTTAGGTCTAAAATTTGCTCTAGCACAAAGTTGCATGGGTGCATTATTAGGTTCAATTTCAAGCCATATATCCCTGTTGAGTAGAGGTGGCAAAATGATTAAAAGAAAATAGTTATCGACCCATATTATCCATAAAAAAATGGGTTGGATAATGAACCATTTAAAAATCAGTCGTATATGGATAAGAACCATATTATTCACTTAGAAAATAGTTAACCAATGGATAACTAATGTGTTTACCTTTTACATTTGTAAAGCCTCAAATTGGAGTTCCTTAAGTTTGAAAGACTATAATCATATTCAAGAAGTCATGGATAATATGGATATCTATATTATCCGCCGGATAACCCATTTTTTATCCATCTCAAGTACGGGTCGGATCGGATAATTTATCCGTTCTTTAAAATACCCGTTTTGACCTGCTCATATCCGACCCAACCCGCCCGTTTGCCGCCCCTACTGCTGAGAATGCAATACTCGGACTTTGACTTCAAGACCGAGTGCTTAAGAAGCGGATATAGCCATTCTGGTTAATTAGTTCAAGAAGGTTGTGGTTGTTTTAATCAAATCAAATTAGAAAAGAATACACATTAAGCTTGCAGTGTTGGCCTTTTATCACACTGTCGGCTACTACGAAACAGAGAACCTTAGTCCTTATCCTTTCTATGAAATTGCAACTATTGTTTCATTACGGGCTAGGCTACTAATTACTTTTAGCTTGTAGAATCTTAAATAGGAACCGGGTACATGATTGCCCAAAGAATGACATTTTAAGCAAGGTTAATAAAATGGCTTTGTAAAACCAACACTTGGCTTGTTTTAGGATTTTTTTATTTTTTTATAACCGTGGTGCTTGAGCCAACTTGGCCCACCTCGACTAATTTCACGGGATACCTGTTGCCTCCAACCAGCAACAGATATCAGGTAACTCTATTCACCAAGGCTTGGATATATGAAAATTAACCATCCAGTATTTTTTGCCTCCGCTAGGATTTAAACCTAAGACCTTATGGTTCTCGTCCACTTCATTAACCACTAAGTCACACCTTTGAGTGTTTCTAGGAAATTTGTTATTATAGGGGAGTTTGGGGCAGCAAGAACACCATATTTATTGACGAGTTTCACTAAATCGCGATTTTGGGACAAAGTGTAGTACCATGCTGAGAAATTCTCTAATCTAGTAATTTTGCAAATAGCAGCGATAATAAAAGGGGACAGAGAGAACAAAATGAAAAGAACAAATGACAAATCTAAGTATAGAACAACAGTGATTCCTCATAGGGGATCTTGGTTCACCGGAGTGAGTTGAGACAAGAAGAGTTCAAGGAGTGCTCGTTCTCTGGGTTGTGTCTCGGGAAAGGGATCATTTCCTGTCAAAACGTAAGTCGTATCAATGCAAAATCATATTTCTAAATCTGAATCCTTCAACTTATACTTTCATGCAATTATCCTTTTATCAATATAGGATCAAATGTATTCTATTTAAAGGTTACATAATCTGAGAGGAAAGGTGTCTAGAAAGCCTAGAAACATGGTACTAATTAACTTGTTAAGGCGGCCAGTTATGCAACTCATTATTGGATCACACCTAGAGGGGAAAACATTACTATTCTCTGTGTATACACCAAACTAATTATAAGCATATGACTTTTCTTCTATCACTTAAGTATGGTTGGTTAATTATGTCTATTTTTACCGAAATATATAACTTAATCATGACTAACTGATGTGATTTGGTGTAAATACCGGATAAAGATAAGTTTCTCCCATTGAAGACAGGGATGGAGCATGCCAGAGTATTTAAAAAAAAGTATATAGAAGTCTAAAAACATGGTGTAAAAGGGTAAAAGCTAAATGTGAGGTGCTACCTCACTAAAGAAGTTTGCTGCTAAAACACACGCTGAAAAACTACCTATATCAAAATTCTCTCAGTTCTGGATTAGATTTTAAAGAAGTACCTCAGCTTCAATGAATTTAGTTTGTATGGAGATCCTTATTACTAGTATCTAAGAAGAAAGTACTCCAAATGTATGACATTTTTTTCTTATGGCTCAACAATATACTAAGTGTAAAAGATATTAACCTGTTGGATACAACGGTGGCCACGGAGCATTATTGACATCAATGATGCCTTCAAACGACGACGTTGGACGTTGTGGATCATTTTCAAATCGATTATTTGGACTCAGATGATCTGTTACTACTGCAGAGACAGTTGGAGTGTGAAGTTGAGTTAAAGATGGTGGTAACATGTTTTCCATGCGTTGATCAGCTTCGTCTCTGCACCCAAACAAAGCCTCAAATCTAAATATAATTTAAAAAACCAGTGAAAAGGACCACCATTTTGAGAAAGAAAAAAGTATACCTGAAGGGAAGAAGCCCATTGGAATCAAGAAAATTCAGAATTTGGACGTGAGGATCTCTTTGTGAGTGTGGAACCCAATCCATGAATGTATTTGAACTAGTATTTGGAATTGAATCACTTGTTGCCACATTATTCACCACGTTCACATTCTGTGATGCAAAATCCATCTAAAAATTACCAAAACACAAGGTTCAATTACTTTGTTCTCAGACATGTCAAAGTTATTTGTAATTGAACAAGAGGAAATTCCAAGAAATAAACTCACCTGTGGTTGTGTGGTGGTTTGTGCTTGGGGAGAGTTATATGTTTCCTCCAATACTTGCTGCGCCATTCCATCAAAAAATAGAACGTAAGTTCGATTAATGGCTTATAAGAAAACTAATTAAGGACAGATGTATGATGGTCAGCCCGGTGCACGAAGTATCCTGCATTCACGCAACGTCAGTGGAAGGGCCGCACCCAAGGAGTATGATGCAGGCGGTCTAACATGATGCAAGCATCGATGGTTGATTCCACGACCCGTGACCTATAGGTCACACAGAGACAACTTTACTGTTGCTCCAACTTTACCCTTCAACAGCTTTATGATGATCAGAGCAAATTTATAACTTGATAACTTACTTTACGAGCTTGGACTTGCTTTAGTGTCTCCTGGAGTATTTCTTCCCTATATTGTGCCTCACATACTGTGGTGATTTCGCACAGATCACCTTCATACATTCTGTAAAATGGTAAAATTAAACTTCAATATGTAGCATGTACATTAAAAGTTTATATTGTCAGTATAGATAATTTGATTAATGTGATTTAACGAAAAATATATGATTAGCCATTTACCTTAATCGCCTATCCATGTCTTCTAGTTGAGTCTTATATTTAAGAATTTCTTGTTGAAATTCCTGAACCAATTTTAACTTAAACATGAGAGAAAGAAATCACAACGCTAAAACGTTACAATAAGCCGATTAGCATCATTGCTAGGGACGGAGCTAGCATATGCCGATTACCGGTTCGGGCGAACTCAGTAACTTCAGTCCAAATTCTATATTTGTGTAAAAATATACATTAAAAATGTACAGATTTATTATTTAGAGCTCAGTAACTTAGAAGATTAGAACCCTAAACCCATTAGCTTCAAATCTTAACTGCGCAACCGAGCATTATGGCAATTATATATAGGAGTTCAGGAGTATTTTCTGCATACCTCAATATGGGAATCAACGCTCGCTGGGCTGCTTAAAATACAAGAATGAAATTAATTTAAAAAATAGAGGCCATTTTTCGAAGAAAAAAAGCATTTCATATTTCATATTAGAAGCTACAGAAATTTTGAGGTTATATTGAACCTGGCTGCTTGATACGTTCGATCTGTTTCACATTTTAGCTTAGCAATAGCCCTTTGGAGATGCTGCAAAATTCATACCCAAGAAAAAAAGAAAAAAGAAATGTTAGTTCATTTAAAGGAAAAAGGCAAAAAGGAAAGAAAACAAACAAACAAAAACCAACAATTCGTACCTCTTGGTTGTGTAAACTTTACAACAGAAAGCACGTACAAACAAGAATTCGAACAAACAAGGTAAAAGAAAAACATATCAATATGAGCTCAAGAAAAGAGAAGATAAATATTTCTGTGTAAAGAAGAGGGGAATTTATATTCTATTTGAAGTCGAATCAGTGAATTTCGAATACTAAATGGTTCCTTACCGTCCTCGATCATGTTCGGGGAGATTAACATAACGTGCCATAATATCTTCAATGCTGTTAATTATAAATCAAAACACCCCAATTAAAAAAAAGAAAAGAAAAGAAAAACATAAAATGATTAAGTTGAAATAGAGAAATTGATTCTTGAAAACTAAAAGGAGAGATTTAATACAAACCTTTTATTTCCAGAAAAAGTACTAACTCTACCAGAAGGAGAGAACATAATGAGAGCAACATCAACATCACAAAGGACAGAAAGTTCATAAGCTTTCTTGATAAGACCATTCCTTCTTTTGGAGAAAGTGACTTGCCTATTTGTTGTATTCTCTATTTTTTTGATCTGAAGTTTTACTCTCCCCATTATTAGTCTCCTATCCTAATTCTGTAGAACTACTATCTCCACACCTTTTTAGGTAAGGATGCTAAATATAGATGTTTGTACTATGAATTGACAAGTCTTGTATATGTCTCTTTCAAAGAAACCTGAAAGATATTTATGGGTACCAACTCAAATAATAAAGTACTCTAAGCTTATTGTGTGGAGGAAAAAGAAAAAGAAAAAGAATGAATACAAAATGCAATAACAAGAGAGATGGTGGAGGTTGAGGAATTAAGTAAAGAAGATAGAGAGGAAAAGGAAGGTACAAAAGGGAGGAAATATAACAACTGGATTTGGCAACATTAGGCCATTCCAGAAAAGATGACAACACTAAGTTAGCCGCAGAAATAAGAGATGGCGGTGTATTCTCGGCGCCTGTTAAAAGGTGGTTATTAGAGAGAGAGATAGAGCCTCTAGTCCAAGACAGAAGGTAAGCAATTTTACTTGGGAAATTCTACAATTCCAACTTAAGTTCTCTGGCATATGAGTAGGAGATTTGGATTTGACGTTATAAACAAGTTACTTGGAATTATTCAGCAGTAAAT